CCATCCCTCTGTCATCCATTTGAACAAAACTAAAGATGATTTATTATTTCGACAATTATGTTATAAGTATCTTCAGTCTCAAGGGCACCAAACTGGCCACTGGGCAGCTAGCTACAAATCAGAGCTGGATTCTGTTCTGGTTGGAGAGGGAAATGCAATTATTCCTTTATTCTTTTTTTTTTTTTTAGAGACAGTCTTACTCTGTCGCTCAGGCTAGAGTATGGTGGCAAGACCATAGCTCACTGTGGCCTCTAGTTCCTGCTCAAGCAGTTCTCTTGCTTCAGCCTCTTGGGTATCTGGGACTACAGTCGCACACCACATGCCTCACTTTTTGTAGAGAGGGGCCTCTCAGTATGTTGCCCAGGCTGGTCTCGGACTGCTGGCCTCAAGCAATCCTCCTGCCTCAGCCTCCCAAAGCACTAGAATTGGAGCCATTAGCCAGGATCTACGGCCTGACACAAACAATTAAAATATGAGACGACAGGCATAAGAAGTTATTAGATATATACGATACAATTGAGGAAAGCTTCATTACAGAGAAGACAAATGAGCTGAGTCTTGATGTCTGAGGAAGGTAAGGGGCTGAAAGGTTCTCCAGCTTATAGAAATATCACACGTGAGAGACAGAGGGGGAGGAGGACAGTATCCGAAACGTGCCCTTGCATGAAGGTGTCAACATAAAATAAGAGAACAAACACATTTAAAACTTTCTTTCTTTTAAAAGAACCAAAGGAGCGGAAGTTCCCAGGATAGCACGAGAAGGGCTGGACATGTCGGCAGAGTGAGGGCGACATCTCCTCCTGCTTTACAAGGGCTATTTTTAACTGTGACTCCGTCTGGAGTGGAGGATGGATCAGATTTTCATTTCTGAGGCACCTTGTTGCCTTGTGCAACTATAATTCTACTTATGTGGGCCACGGAGAAAAATGAACCAACTCAGCACAAAGTAGGTTACCTGCTTTTCAAAGTTCTAAGATTAAAAAAATGCGGATCCTAAAAACTTTTACTTCCTAGAGGTGTCTTTAAAATGTAGTAGAGGTAGACTAAAAATTAAGAAAAAGCAATTTTAAAAATGTTTTAAAGTACAATTACAAAGGTATAAAATAAAAAATAAAACTTATCTACTCCCAAATTATCGCTTCAGTCTCTTTGACTATGTTCTAGGTTCTTGTCTTGCAAAATCAAACACTATCTCCCTCACAGGGAGGGGAGCTCTAGTCTTAAGTAAAAATGGAGCCCAGGCCAGTGATCCCCAGGCAGTCAGTGGCCACAGTTTCTGCACCCATGCTGCAAGAAGCCACAGCTCCACGATCAATGCCAGTTGCTGGCATTTTATGGTTGAAATTACTTCCTTGACTTTCTTTACAATTCTGTTAAGATCATTATTCAGAGCCACCCAGAATTTTCAGATTCTGTTGTACAAATGAATGCTTAAGTAGAATAAAATTTCCTTTCCTACTGAGTCAGAAGATTAGTTATTAAGCTGAAACATCTGAAATTGCTGATAATAGCAGATAGCTCAACCCAAATGAATCGACTGAGTACTTATCAAAATTGGTCTAGAAAAACTGTTGGAAATTACATTTATTTATTGGGGTAGTCCATCCCTCTGTCATCCATTTGAACAAAACTAAACAACTCCCCTCTTTAAGGAAGGTTTAGATGTTATTATCAGCAATACAGAGCTATTAGTAGAATTTAAATGAAAATAGGTGTGCTCCCACTTGATGGGCACAATGGAAGGGTATCAGTACGGCACACCACTCGGGTGCAGGACACACGTACAAGAGGAACTCTACCTAACAAATGCAAACCCTGTAACCTCGGTGTTTGTACCCTCACGTTAACCTGAAATTTTAAAAAAAGAAAACAAACAGTAGTTCATTTTAAAATAAATAATATAGGTGGAAGAAAATTTATAAATATTCTAGGAGAAGCAATGTCTACATTGTTCTAGAGAACATAGCTGTTTTCCTTCTTCAAAAATGTCTCTGGAAAAAGTGATTCCTCGTCACTCATAGGCAGACTGCTCCAGTATTTAGCCACTGACATCGTTACAAGAACATCTCACAACTTTGTGACTTGTGATAAGTGTTATATTAGCACAAGAATTTTAAGTGCTTAATTTTCTCATGTGTAAGACTGAGTTAAGTTCCCTAACAAATGTAAAGAAATATATTTGAGCCTCTCAATATATACAAAATAGAAATGTAAGATTCCCCCAAATGTGCTTTTAAAGCAATGAAATCCCTTAGAAAGGTGGTGGCTATGCCAATGGTATCCGGAATGTGATTAGCACAGCACTGTCTACCTTGAGGGCTGCCTCAGTGCCCCCTCCTCCAGCCTGTGCCCTACAGCACTGTGTACCT